TTGGTCCCACTCCTCCCACTCTGGGTCTCAGTCTCCCCATCTGCCAAGAGGGTGGTTGGAACCAGCGCTAAACTGGGATTAGGACCCAGAATGATCCCTGATGAGAGCAAAGGATCACCTGCCTCCTGATGGCACTCAGCCATGGGTACAGGTGTTCTCCCTAATTTGCATGTGTCATGATCTGCTTCAAACTCAGAAGCCCAAACTCTTGGTGGGGGAAGAGGAGGGGCGCAGAGAGCGAGTGAATGAGCAATGCTGATGGCAATGATAAGGTGATAAGCAGCCTTCCCACATGTTGAGCAAAAATTACCCATCAGGCATTGTGCTAACACATTCCATAGTTTTTCTCATTTAGGCTTGCACCAGCCCACCCAGTAGGGACCATTGTTCACGAGTGATCCTCCAGGGCTCCATAGTTAAGTGATGGAGCAGAGACTGAAGCCCAACTTCACCTGGGCTCTAAACCTGCAGTCTTGACCCCACGATGCCCTGCCTCCCGCTGGCCTCTGCCTGGGTGATTCTGACCTGGGACAGAGCCTCAGGCACAGCCGGATGACTTCCTTAAGCCAAGGGCAAGGTCAGGTTCTGAGACAGGAGGTCAAGAGGGGAGCTACGTGTCTTCAGGCACCAAAAAATAATTCTGAAATGGGTTTTTGGATATTAGATGGTATCTATGGCAACTCCAATCCTGAGCAAGGGTAAAAGGAAGGCAGTGTCTCTCCTTCACTCCCTGTCAATATGTGAGGGAGAAACTTTTAGGGAGAAAAACTAAGGGAGTCCTGCACACAATCCTGTCATGAAGAGGGCTTAATCTGTGGGGAAGGACTGTGTTAGTGCTCGGGTTTAGGTAAATGGAGGCAGATCTGAACCTACTCCTGCTCTATCACCACATTACTGGTAGGTGGATCTGTCAGACACTGAGCCGAAGCCTCCTGCCTCAATGGGCTGGGGTCCACCAGGGACCCTTTCTGGCTGCTGTTGTTGCCCAGGACTCTCCGGAAGGGCCTCCCTTTCTTTGGAAGCTTTTGAGTCTAAAAGCAGCTCTTTCTCTTTTTCTTTTGAATCCCTCTGGATCTTCGTGGTCTGACCCAGGCCTGGCAAATGGGAAACTTCTGGAATCACCAAGAACTCAGTGGGAAAGGAACGTAGGGAAAGGGCAGATGCAGAGGTTGCTGGGTTCAGGGTGTTGAGTTGCTGGGGTAGGACCTTCTGTATGAGCCTCCTCTCCAGCCTCCCCTTCACCTCCTCCTTTCCCTCACCCCTCAGGCATCAGGACCTTCCAAGTCCACCTTAACTTCTCAGCAGCGGAAGGGACTGCTCCTCCGAAAGGGCTGTTCCCCATCCTTGCCACCAATCCAGTGGAGTTCACTTACTTCCATGGGAAAGTCCCCAAGGTTGGACTCCTGTCTTTCTGTTCAGCTTTGGTCCTTGACCTTGAAGCTGGGAAAGCTTCAGCTGATCTTGAATACTTGGAGGACCTAGCTTATGGTGACGGCCACACACGTCTCACCGAATGGCATTCCTTGACCTGGCAGAAACTGAGCCAGATAGGAAGGGCCCAGAGAGGCCCATCAGATCCTGGTTACACCTCCTTATCTATTCCTTCCTTCCTTTCTTCCTTCCTTCCTTCCTTCCTTCCTTCCTTCCTTCCTTCCTTCCTTCCTTCCTTCCTTCCTCTCTTTCTCTCTTTCTCTCTCTCTCTTTCTTTCTTTCTTTCTCTTAAAGCAATGCAAGCTTATTGTTGTTTATTATTTTACAATCATATAGGCCAGAAGTCTGACATAGGGCTAAAATTAAGAGGTTGGGAAGACTTGGCTTCTTTATGGAGGCTCTAGGGAGGGTCTATTTTCTTGCCTTTTCCAGCTTCTAGAGACTGCTGCCACTCCTTGGCCATCCCCTTGCATCTTTGCAGCCATTGATAGCAGTGGCTGGTGGAATCCTCTGGTTATATCACTGGGCTCTGCTTCCATCCTTGCGTTTACACACTTACACGTGACACAACGCTGAGGACTGGGAAAGCAAATTGACTTTCCAGAGGTGCCAAATGGATTTTCCCGGGGGAGGGGGGGACGATTCCACCAGCCCTGCCTCAGCCACAGCCACAGCCACTCCCCTTCTGTATGATTTACAGAGAACAATTGTATTGTACGGAAGGAATCCCCTGCTCAGAACAACCATGGGCCAAGCAAAGCCACAGTGCTCCAGTCGGGGCTGAGTCATGGAATCTGTGACGTAGCTAGAACACCTGCCTGGGCCAGCCCGGGGTCAGATGGCCATGTTCAGAGCTGACTCTGTCCTGACCCGGGGGTGGCTTTGTGAAAGCTGCTCATTGGCCAAAGCCAAGACTTCCTGACCCTACCCCCCCAAAAAAAAAAAAAAAAAACACCCCTCCCTTTGCATTCCCATCTTCCCATCCAAGTCCTATAAATGATGGGGTTGAGTCCTTCCTTTGTGGGTTGTGGTGGTTCAGAGGTCAGATCCTTCAGGGAAGCCCTGGCTTTAACACTTTCGGTGAGGCTTTGCCTCAGTTTCCTTATCTTTAAAGCAATTTGCATGGGGATTTTTTTTTTTTAGTCATACATGACTTGCATGGGGATGTTTTTGAGAATTAAACCATGAATTAATAATATGTAGGATTCTTAGAACAGTGCCTGACATGTAAAAGTGCTCAGTAAATCTTACCTTGTATTTTTTCTATCAGAGTTTTCACTTTGCTGGGGCGGGGCGGGGGTTTGCTCAGATAAAACATTTCTGAAACTCCTAGGAGCATGCTAATAGAGGCCATTAGTATGAGAATAACTGCTGAAAGGCGCTTCCTAGACTCCCACACGAGTGAGAGAGTGTGTCTGCCCAGGAGAGAGGCTGTCCCATGTTCCCTTCCCAGTCCCGTGAAGAGCATGTCATTGAGACCAGGCATCAGGAGCCTGTCCTAGGAGATCCAGGCACGAGCTCACAGACTTGGAAGCTACAGGGTCAGGCAGGCTTTGGTGGTGGCCGCTGGAGATGTGCATTTTATCTCCCCTCTCTTGTTCTGATTGGGCCAAGGCTGCACCCTAAGGCTCCTTCCTGGTGCCCTTCTAGTCCTGCTCTGCAGCCTCAGGCATGGAGCCTGGCAGCCCTGACTGGGGAATCATGTTTGCCCAGTGCCTGGGGCAGGGCAGCACTGGGAACTGGGGCTTCCAGGAACAGGAGATGCACACAGAACCGGTTGTTTGGTACTCTTTTGAGAGGTGGACAGTCTTGGATGTACCCGCCACCTTTCTACCTTGGTAGGGCAGCACACTGAGGGCCCTGCCCACCAGTTGTCACAGTGCTAGGCGCCTCCCTGTCACACCTGAAGCCTAGCTGCTCATGGAGGACAGTGACTACAGGTATAGGAATTTGGGATGGACACATTCTGATTCCAGCACCTCTCTGACAAGCCCGGGCTCTTTTGAATACGTTATTTGGCTCTCTTGCAATTTCCTCCTCAAGTCGTTCATAAAGGAAAAAAGAAATCTCAGTTAGTTTGGAGTTCCAAGTATCCGGATTCTGGTTAACGGGGATTTGAACTTTCTTTCCTCTCTTGAGTACAGAGGAGGAGAAAGTCCCTCAGACCCTGTTAAGTGGATGAAAGGCCTCCTTGCTTGTGACCCACATAGAAAGAGGCCCTCATTGGGGCTGGGGATGTGGCTCAAGCGGTCGCGTGCTCGCCTGGCATGCGTGCGGCCCGGGTTCGATCCTCAGCACCACATACAAACAAAGATGTTGTGTCTGCCGAAAACTAAAAAATAAATATTAAAAAAAAATTCTCTCTCTCTCTCTCTCTCTCTCTCTAAAAGAAAAAAGAAAGAGGCCCTCAGTGATCCCTGCCTTGAGGAGGTGACAGTGTGCATCTGGGAGGGGATCCAAAGTTCTTATCAGTGAGTGACAGGGTCACAAGGGAGCTTGGTTGAGAAAGAGGGCATGTCTCCTCACTCCCTCCCCAGCTGCACACAGGGCCCAGGAACTGGAGGAAGGGGAGGGTCCTCAGTGACATCTTGCTGCAGGGGAAGGGACCAGGTCTGTTGAACACTTCACACTTACTCCTCACAAACAACAGTCCGAAGAGGCTGGCACTAGCATCACATCTTTTGCACAGCTGGCAACATGGGAGGCCCAGAGGAGCCGAGCAACATGGCCAGTCGGTGGCAGAGCTGAGGTTTTAGTTCACTACTACAGCCCCACTGTTTCTGCTCAGCCCTCAAGAGTGCATCAAGGAAAGCTATGCACACGCCTTTGGTGGCTTGGGGCTAGGGAACTCTTGGGTTTGAGGGGTCCAGAAGATGGAGTATTGGCCAAAGGGGACAGCAGGTGGTCTCGTGCGCTCTGCTAGTTCCAGATTAGAAATGCAAACACTTGGGCTGGGGATGTGGCTCAAGCGGTAGCACGCTCGCCTGGCATGCGTGTGGCCCGGGTTCAATCCTCAGCACCACATACAAACAAAGATGTTGTGTCCGCCGAAAACTAAAAAATAAATATTAAAATTCTCTCTCTCTGTCTCTCTTTAAAAAAAAAAAAAGAATATACGATTTAAAAAAAAAGAAATGCAAACACTTGAGAGAAAAACTGCCTTGTTTCCCTCCCTCTCTCAGAGATAAGCTTTGGTTGTCACCTTGGTCAAGCTCTCCTGGCCCCAGGAGGGACACTTTTCTGTGGCAGTGAGGACTGGGGACCCATGACAGTGTTGGGGGTGGTGGTGTGGAAGGTAAGGAGAGAGATGAACTTTGAGGGACCGAAAGCCCTGGGAACGCTGGAGGAGACCCTGGGCAATGACCCCTGAGTCCTTCCCACAAGGCTACCTCAGTGGCCCCATGAGCACACGGAATATTCCCAGGACCTTATTGTAGTAGAGCGGCTTAGCTGAGGCTAATGGGGGCCACCGCAGGCCTAGCTTCCTCACTGGGAACTGCAGGGTGGGTTGCACTTGGCTCGGCGTCCCCTCCATCTCCAGCTCACGGTCTGTCCCCACTCTCCTCCAGATGGGATCTATTATGGAGACAATCGGTTCAACACCGTGAGCGAGTCGGGAACAGCCACACTGAAAGCTCGGCCAAGAGTCCGGCCCCTGCTGACCTTCCTCCCACTGGTGAGTACCGCTCTGCTCCCGGGTCTGAGGGTCTGCTCTGGGTAGGGACGCCTTGCTTGCCACAGAGGAACCTGCCTCCCCTGTGCGGCCTGAGGGGACATCAGCCTCACCCTCTGTCATTCTTTTCCTTCCTGATGCCAATCTAGGTGGCTGCCGGGAGGAGGCATGGTTAGTGCTCATGGCAGAAAGGCCTGGGATTGGGGTGTCAGCTCCTGTAGGTCATGGGGAATTTGCGCACAGAGGTGGCCTAACGGTGGGTACCTCAAGTTAAGCGGGGCTCATTTCCCACAATCGGTGGTGGCTCTCTGCTTCATGCCAGGCCTGCATTAGGTGCTGGGATACAGCCACGTCTGCACTGGCATTGCTCAGGAGCCTGTGCCCACTGCAGGGGATGAACGACACCAACTGTTCAAACCAGGACCAGACACAGGGCAGACAGTACAGCCACAGGGTAGTCAAGGAGGGCTTAATGAAAGAGGTGACACCCAAACTGTCTCATAGGACAAACAGCACTGACCTTGGGAGAAGGGCATTTGAGACAGATTTGTCTGTGGGTCTGAAACTATGAGAAACTTCTCTTTCAAAGCCCATGATTGGGCTTTTGTTCTTTGGTGAGGTAAAAAGACCCAGAGAAAATATTTTATGACTGGTTCTGTTTTCCACAATAAAAATTCCTATATTTTCTGAAACATTCTAGACAAGTGTACTGTCAATAGAAATGTGATGCAAGAATCATATGTAATTTGAAATTTTCTAGTAGCTCCATTGAAAGCAGAAAGAAATGGGTAAGGGCTGGGGTGTGGCTCAGTGATAAAGCGCTCACCTAGCATGTGCAGGGAGGGCCCTGGGCTTAGTCATCAGCACCACAAAAAAAAAAAAAAAGTCAAACTGATTTTAATAATATATTTTACTTAACCCAGAATATATGAAAGAGTGTCATTTCAATATTTAATCAATGTAAAAAATACTAAAGAGATAGTTTACTTTCTTTTGTTCATATGAAGTGTTCAAAATCTAGAGTACCACGACATGCAGCATATCCCGCTTCTGAAGAGTGACACTTCAAGCCCTCAATGGCCACTTGTAGTCAGTGGCTGCTATGTTGGACAGGCAGACTTGGAGTCTAAGCAGCAGCCTACCAAATGTGGGTTCGCTCATATCTCTCAGGTCTGGGTCTTGGTTGGGACAACACTGTTGCCTGAGTCATGGTGACAACCATGGTGACATGTGACAACTCCTTGAGGGTTTGTACCACCTAGTCTGACAAGGCACCTTACTGTAGTCTGAGCTTTCGGGGCCTGTTAGACAGAACATGCCACACCTTGGTCCTAGTATCTGCACGCCCTGCCCAACACTGCCTGGCCCCACCACCTCCCTCTCTGCATCACCAATTTTTTTCTGGTTTGTCCAACTCCACCAGACAGACCCCAAGGTTCTAGTGAGATAGACCAAGTCTGACACCTTGCTGCATCCCCAAGGCCTCCTTGTGGAGGGTCTAGCACACAGATTTCTGTGTATACAGCTTCCAATCATATATTTTCTGCTTATAAAAGCAGTTTATGGACTGTGGTTGTGGCTCAGTGGTAGAGCACTTGCCTAGCATATGTGAGGCCCTGGATTCAATCCTCAGCACCACATATGAATAAATAAATAAAGTGAAAAATCCATTGGCAACTAAAAAATATTTTTTTTAAAGGCAATTCATGGCTATTATAGACAAATAAAGAAAGAAAACCACCACCAACAAGAAGGTATAAAGTGAGGGCCAGGCATGGTGGTACATACCTGTAATCCTAGCAGCTCTGAAGGCCGAGGCAGGAGGATCACAAGTTCAAAGCCAGCCTCAGCAACTTATCAAAGCTCTAAGCAATTTAGTGAGACCCTGTCTCTAAATTTAAAAAAGCCGGCGGGGAGGGGGGCGCTGGGGATGTGGCTCAGTGGTTAAGCACCCCTGTGTTCAATCCCTGGTACCAAAAAATAAATAAATAAATAAATAAGAAAAAGAAAGGTATCAAGTTAGTCCCCACCTTCATTTCCAGAGATGCATAAAACTGCTGTAGGGGTCACTGTAACCATAAACACAGATGAACAATTTTGACAGATCCTATTTCTGGAGGTGAGCTTATCTCTCCCCTGACCTACCCTCAACACACCTATTCAGGATCCCAATGGTGTGGTCCCAGAGCTGCCCCCTCTGTACCTGTGCTGACTATTGAATTTTAAAGTACTCTACAGGGAAAACCACATTTCCCCTAGGCTGGCTTCTCCTGTCCTGTCCTTCCCCCATCTGGATCACTCCAAGATTCTTCAACTAAAAGGTTAATGAGGTCCCCTTTGAGTGTGTTCTGATTGGCTAAGGTCCAGCATTTTCCCCACCCACCACCTTGGGCCCCACCTGACTTTCCGTCCCAGCCTGCTTGGGATCTGGTCTGGGCAGGCCCCAGGCAGGCCCTGCGGAGACTTGGGGGGGCCACTGGCTGGGGCATCGCCATCTGAAGCCGGGAGTTCTGGGCCTTCTCCGGAAATACTTCCTGGGAGCAGCCCAGAGAGGAGGCATCTCCCCAACAAATGCACCGTCCCTTGTGAGAGTGAGAGAAGGAAGACACCCTGAAGCCCAGCTGAAGCCTCAGTGGGGCCATATGAGGCTCCCTTTACAGAGACAAAAACTGAACCCAGAAAAGGGACGTGCGCTACCTTCCTTCAGTGCTGGCTAAACGAGGAATGGCAGGGGGGGCCACTTGTCCCATCCAGTGGCTCAGCCCTGTGATCTCCGCAGGAGCACTTAGTGTGCCAGGCAACGCTCCAAGTATCATGCATGTGAATGGAGCCACATTCATTGACTATTGAATTTTAAAGTACTCTACAGGGAAAACCGCATTTCCCCTCGGCTGGTTTCTCCTGTCCTTCCCACTTCTGGATCACTCCAAGATCCTTCAGCTAAAGGGTTAATGAGGTCCCTTTAGGAAGCTGCTGTCGTGAACCCCCATTTTACCGATGGAGAAATTGAAGAACTGAGAAAAGTGACTTGCTTAAGTGGCAGAACCAGGACTCAAACCCCTGCAGCCAGCTTCCAGGGCCAAGTGCTATTCAGGCCACCCTCCCTCCTCCTCCCCCACTGCCTAGAAGCCTTGTCTTCCCCTCCTAGAGGACCAGCCTAGAACCATTACCACCTCCCTTGTCTGCCTCTCTGAATCCCCACCCCACAGCTGGGGCCAGGTCTCTTGCCTCTTTTAGATCATAGACCCTTTGAGGCCCCGATGGAGCTACAGACTGCCTGCACACAGTTTTGCTTACCATTTCACCAGAGGACTCAGAAGCCCACCCTCCATGTGCCTTTAGATTAGAAACCCTTGGTCCATGCCCTCTTTGGCAGCTACAGTTCTGTGGTCCTGATTCAGGTTCCAAGACCCCAGTCGTTCACCATCATTAGCCGTCTAATACTGGGTGGAAGGGAATCAGCATCTTGATCCTCTTCTCCTATGTGGCCCTCAGGTTCCATTCACAGGCCCAGTCCCCAGCTTTCTTCCCACAGGGGCACGAGGTCAGGAGAATGGGGAGACATGGGAGGACAGCACTGCATGTGGCTTGGGCTCACACACATACATACGTGTGCGCACACACACCCTGTCCCCCAGCCCGAGTCAGGTTGGGTGGGGAGCTGGGCCAGGGCCTGAGCCCTGCCTGACACTGGCCTAGCTGGCTGGGCTCCATGCCTCTCTCCTTCCCTCCTACATTCAGAGGGCACCTCCCACGGAGGCTACCCTGGGGCAGGGGAGGTGGGAGGCAGCATCCAAAAAGTCAGGTGACAGCCCAGCAAGGTCTTGGAGCTCTTGCCTGAATGATCCCTTGCCATCAGTACCTTCCATGAGCCTGCCAGGGGATAGGGTTCAAGAGGAGAGGGCAAGACGAGGTGGGGGGAGCTGTGACAGGTACCTCTGCCCTGGAGCTTCCTCGCTCTGTTTGAGCTAGAGGTGGTGAGGACCAAGAGAGGTGGCACCTAGCAAAGCCAATGATGAGAAGGACCTTGGATCCCTCAGTGACAGGAATAGGACCTGGGATCAATCCTTGGGTTGCTGAGGGCCAAGTCCTTCTTCTTTCTGGGCCTGTAGCTCCTCATTCATCAGTTGGGGTTACACTGAATGGTCCCCAAAGGCCTCCTCAGCTGTGACTGTCTGTGTTAAAATGGCTCCCTGGTGGAAGGGGAGGAGGCATGGTTAGCTCCCTAGAGACCTGTCTCCTCTCACATGGATGACTTCTTGAGTTCTGCTTCTTCCTTGAAGAGGTGGCATTCTAGCCACCAGGGCCACCCCACCTTCCTGTTTGGGGAAGTCTGAGAAGCTGAATTAGAACCACCAAACTTCACGCCAGCAACCCAGGAGGCTGAGGTAGGAGGATTGCCAGCCTCAGCAACTTAGTGAGACCCCTGTCTCAAAATAAAAAATAAAAAAGACTGGGTGTGTAGCTCAGTAGCAAAGTGTCTCTGGGTTCAATCCCTGGTACAAAAAAAAAAAAAAAAAGAACCACCAAACTACAGAGATTACCAAAATGAGAACACTGAGGCCTGGGGAGGGGACAGTCTGCCCAGGCTGCAGCTCAAAGAGAACTGAGATAGGAGCTGGGCCTTCCTCCTAGGCCAGTCCTGTCCACTGTAGACCTGGGCTGAGGAAGGAGCAATCCTTTTGCTCTACTTCTAAGGGAAACCAGGCCCCTACCTGAGAGCTGAGCCATGAACAGCAGCTCACAGGAAGGCTGTGCTTGTCTCTCCCTCCAGAATGCAACCGTCTCCGTCATGATGCATGTGAGGAATTTAAAACTAAATGCCCATGTGGCAAGTTTGGGTAAACTGGCTAGACAGGTCCCCAAGGGTGCCTGGGGTGGTGAGAACTCCCTGGATCACCCCACCCTCTGAGTCAGACAGGCCCAGCTCTGCCAGGGGAGGTATCCCTGGGCTCCGGCAGCCCTGCCTGTTCTGGGCGCCTCCCTCTATTCCTCTGTGGCCT